ACTGGCCATATACTGAGGGGATCATGTGGCAAGCACCTTCTAGCTCTTTCACCCCATCCCTGATCCCTAGGGAAGGAAAATTCTCTGGCTCATTCCTGTTTGAGAATGGGGTGGGGGGCATTTGGAGGGAAGAAGCCACTTGTATCAGACTTGCACACATTGAGAGGACCATTGACTCTTTCTGCCTAACACATAGTAGGCCCTTCATGTCCCAGAGTTCCACATCTGTAGACTCAACCACATGTGGATCGAAAATCCTGGAAAAAACCCTGCAGCTATATAGAGATGTTTTTCTTATCACTATTCCCTAAACAATACAGTATAACAATTAATTATACAGAATTTATGGGTATTGGGTATTAGGTATCATGCCATCTAGAGATGATTTAAAGTATACAGTGGGATGTGTATAGGTGGAATTCAAATACTGTGCCTCTTTCTATAAGGGGATTGAGAGTCTTCAGGTTTTCATATCTGTGGGGATCCTGGAGCTGTGGTAGGTAGAACGGGAACTTCAGCAGTTTAAGAACTGACAGGCTGTGGTTTTGCACATGGACACACAGCAGCTCTGCTTACTGACATTTAACCCTAGAGACTTGCAGTGGCTAACAGGTACCTCTAACAGATAACCACAGTAGCAAAAGGAGGAAACAAAGCAACAGGGACAGAACAATCCCCCTTTAGGCTTGGTGGGTGAGCTGAGTCCCTAGGTCATTGACAAGCTTGTGCCCATATGCACCCTCCAACAGAATTGTACCAGTTCCCATGCCTTGATAGATCCCAAACTTGCTTATGTGAAAAAGTAAAAGCCCAGCTGAGCTTGGGACTCAGACTTTGGGAATTATCCCTCTGGGCTGTGGCACCATTAATAAAGTGTTGCTTCTAGAGCTCAGTGTCCTGACCCTCATTTCCCGCTACAGAACCAAGCCCCTGAAAATGGAGAGAGAGGACTGTAGAAAGACAATAAATAAATGACCTTAGCTAATTTTCAGTGTTGAACCAGGTTTGCATTCCTGAGATGAATCCATTTGGTCAGGCTTTTATTTCCCTTTTTATACACTGCTGGATTCACGTTGATAAGATTTTGCTTCTACACTCATGAGAGAGATTGGGCTGCAGTTTTCTTTTCTCATCATGCCTTTGTCTGGTTTTCATGTGAGGGTAATACTGGCTTTATAAAATGAACTGGGAATGCTCTTTCCACATTAGCTTTGAATTTGATTTCTTGCAGGTGTGTTATTATGAGCACTTGGGATATGCTGAACTTGATGCTAAGTGTTTTACACCAACTCTCTCATTCGTCTTTCTGATATCTGTAAGTGGCAGGTCGTGTTCCTGGCCCAGCCATTTCTGATGACCTCTGGGGTCCATATTTTGGAGGTTGTGGGAACTGATCTGACCGCTGCTACTGTGACTGGAGTCAATGAGATTACAAAGTGACAACAGCACACCTAGGATGCCTCTCAGAAAAGGTTAAAATAGACCTGGCAGAGCATTAGCAGAGGAGCAGGAGTGGCCTCTCTGTGCAGAGATTCTCCACAGACAAGAACTCTGTTCTTTTTGCCCCTAAAATTCAAGCCAGGCCTGGGGGTGTTGCTGTTAGAGAAGAGCTTTGTATGCTGAGCAGGAGAACAGCACCCCGGCTGAACAGAGGGGCTCTCTGGAAGACGGAGTTTTGTAAGGAGCTTCTCAGTTGTGGAAGACACAACTGATTCCTGTTCTAGGTGGCACGGGAACTGCCCCAGAGGCCTTGAGGAGAGTCACATCCATAGTGTCACTGATTCAGAGCTGGAGATCTTAGGGGGCATTGCATCAAATAACCTTTTTACTGCTTCTGGAAAAGGCTGCCTTTCTAGATTCTTCCTGTGATGGAGCTTGCTTCTGTCTGGTACTTTTTCCTATGGTGCTCTGAGCCTTCAGCTACCCAGCACCCCACAAGACACCAGGGCAGTGCACTCAGTGCCTCTGGCTGGCAGGACAGGAGGGGGCCTGGGTCTCCCTCCATGGCCATTAACCTCCTCATCAGCCTCCACTCTTCCCCTATAATCACCTTCCACAAGGCGGAGAGGCTGAACACCTTGCCACAGACACGACCATGACATTCTCTGCCTCTGGTCCTTTGAATGTGCTGTTTCTCTTCACTTGTGAAGTTCTTCCCTCTTCCATGTCCTTCATGATCAAGCTCAGACACCATTTTCCTTAGGGAGCCTCCTTTAGGGTTCTTATTCCATTTCATAAAAAAAAAAAACAAACATCTGCTCAGCTGTCCGTCCCTAATGGTAGGGGCCATGTGGCTCATCTCATCTCCACATCTATGGGCCCAGCACACAGCCAGGTGCTGTGGGTCACTTGCCTTGTTTGCTAAAAGGATGGAGTGTTCTTGCCCTTGGTGGGGCCACTGGTCATCAGCCCTTTCCTTCCATCCTGAATCACTGCTGGACCTCCATCTTGTGAACCAGTTTAAAATGACCACAGGAGGGGGGACAACAGGCCCTGGTAAGTCCCACTGCTCTGCTAAAGGATTAGCGAGTTCTATCTAGTTTTGTTTCCTTTTGAGGTCACTGTTGAAAATACAAGCTTCTTGAGAAAGAAAACACCCCCTTTCTTCCTCCCATTCATTCTCAAAGGCATCCAAGCAGATCCTTTCAGTTCTTCATGATAAAGATGCAAAATCCTGTTGTGATTTTTTTTCAAACAATTTTTGAACAAGTTCTTTGAACTGGCATGAACACTCTTAACCCCAAATTTCAGGTTAAAAGGCTTCTATAAATATCAAGTAATGCCATAAAACAATTGTGGAAAGATAAAGAGAAGCAAAAGGATACCCTGAGCTCTTAGTGATGATGATGATCGACAGTTGTCAAGTTTGCAGACATGGCTCAATGTGCCAGAGAGGTACAGACTGTGTGGAGCTCCACCAGTGTTTCCTGAGGTGTTCTTCACCACAGGTCCTGGCTGGCCCTTGGACACCTGTGCTTACCTCAAGCCTGGGTTTCAGTGTGGTCCGGGCCCAGCAGCATCAGCTGTACCTGCAAACTTGTTGGGAATGCACTCTCCTGGGCTCCACCCAGACCTAGAGAAGGGCTCACATTTGAGAACCTGTGAACCCAGCTGAGCTGTCCAGGATTTATCAGGAGGAACACATTCAGCCAAATTCTAGGTCAAAGACTCAATGTCTGGGCATGGTGGCACACACTTATAATCTAGTGGCTCTGAGGCAGGAGGATCATAAGTTTGAGGTCAGCCTTAGCAACTTTGTGAGATCCTATCTCAAGTAAAAAATAAAATAAGGACTGGGGTTATAGCTCAGAGGTAAAGCACCCTCAGGTCCCATCCCCAGTACCAAAATCAAAACAAAACAAAATAAACAGAAAAACAAAAGAGAAAAACAAAAACAAAAACACAATGGGATTTTCTTGAGGTAGTATGTTACCTGATTTCAGTACAATATAATATTCATTTTCTTTAGTAAATGCACAAAAGCATTTATTTCATGTTTAAAAACTGTCAACATGTACATTAAAAAGCAACCTCATCAGGCCCCTCATGACTCAGTTTCTAGAAGGTCTCATGAGGCCAAAAGCTGTTCCCCCTCCTGCCTGTTTCTCTCTCTTTCTGTACCCTATTCTGATACTGCCGCAGTCTGGCTGGGCACCAATAACCGAGCTGCCACAGAGCCTTGTAGGTTCAAACAGCAACTACTTTATTTCAACTCTCACCTGCACGCTGGCTTTTTGCCGCCAACGCCACCCACGCAGCCCTTCCAGAAACCCCCACACCGGAAATCCCTCCTCCGGCACTTCCCCAACCAATGGGAACTCTCCGGGAATCCCCGGGAGAACTCCAAAGTAGCGGGCTACAGAGGCAGCAAGAGCCGCCCCATTGCCCGACAGTAAAGGTCAAATATACAATACAATCAATCCAGCATCACAGCAATAGCTTAACTCAAATCATCATCTCAATGGTCCGCTGGCGTCACCTTTCAAACATTCCCTCTGGCAAATGCCAGGCATCATTCTGACCGGCTGTGGCTCTCAACATGATACCTCATTCATGTCCCTGCTCCACCTCAATGACTGGGTGGTGAAGGGATTAATGCCGATTTCATAGAGTGGGGTGGTCTCCCAGGAGTTGATTAGCTCCCACCAGAGTGGGTTGTCATAAGAGAGTGAGCCTGGCCTCTCCCTGTCTCTTGCTTCCTGTCACTATGTGACACCGCTCTTTTACACATGCACTTTCTAGGTGGGATCATCACCACGAAGTCCTCACCAGAAACCAGTGTTGTTACTGAGCTGTTAGTCTTCCAAAACCATGAGTGAAACCAAACTACATTTTTTAAAAAAAATAAGTATTCTGCCTCAGGTATTTTTTATAGGAACACAAACTGGAGTAAGCCAATAATTCTTGAACATTGAATCCAAGGCTTCTTAACAATGGCACAATTTTGGGTGGAGTGATTCTTAATTGTGGGGTCCCATCTTGTGCATTAATAGGATGTTTAGGAGCACTCTTTGGCCATTACTCATTAGATGCCAGTAGAAAACTTCCCCAATTTGTGACAATTAAAAATACCTCTCCTGGGCTGGGGTTGTGGCTTATCGGTAGAGCACTTGCCTAGCATGTGCAAGATGCTGGGTTTGATCCTCAGCATCACATAAAAATAAATAAATAAAATAAAGATATTTTAAAAAAAAAACTCTTCTGAGTGTCTCCTGGGGAGCAAACTGCCCCAGTCGATAGCCACTAGTTTAGACATATACTATACAAGGTCCTTCTCCATTTGAACTCCTGTCCCAGGCCCCCAAATTGTTGGGGCTATTTTCTTCCAGCCACAAGACCTTGGGCCACTTCCTTCCTCTCTGGGCCTTGGTTTTCTCATCTGCCTTTGGTGGGAACTGGAGGGCTATTGGTGAGGGCTTGTGTCAAGTTTGGCTTAGCACCTGGGACCAATGCTTGTTGGTCTCCTTTTTCTCTTTTTGGCCCACCCTGGGGGTGCTCACCTGTTCAGGAAGATGCTGCTGACGTCGTCATGGGTGATGGGGGGCTTCTTAGAGCTCGCGGCCATGCGCAGAGGACGCAGGAAGTTGTTCACGAGGATGTGCAGCTGCTGCACGTACTCAGCCTCGGCCTCCAGCATGCTGAACACCACCTGGTTCCTCTTGCGCATGCTGTCGGCATGGGGCGACCGGATGTAGTCCTGGATGATGGTCTTCCACTTCCGCCGGCACAGCCAGCCCCGCAGGAAGCTCTGCACCTGGGTGTGGAGACCAGTGGGGAGGGGCTCCTGCTAGACAATCTTGATCATTCTTGTCCTTCCAGGTCCTGAGCACTTCAAGGGCAATGACCAAGGTCATTGTCATCCCCTTTGCTGGGGGTAGGGGGACAAGGGCTCAGACATGGGCCAGGCCTGCCTTTGCTTCCTGCATGACGCTGAGCATGGTGAACAGTCCCCAGGAGCCAATTTTCCTATCTGTAAAGTGGAGCTGAAGAGATGATGGCTGGACTAATGTGGACCATAGACTGGGCCAGCATCTCTGGAGATTTGGTCACAAATGCAGATTCTTGGGTCCTGCCTCAAACCTTTGCATTTTAACAAGATTCTTGGGTTGCTTTAGAGAAACTGATGAAGGAGGAAAAATGTGGCCCGGAGTCTCCATATGGGAGGTGGCTTGAGGACAGAAGGTTGCCAGGCTGTGCCTGGACCTTATCTTGTATAATGACTCACCTGAAAGTCTGGAGGTTTCAATTGGAGCATGTCTGGAGACAAGGTGATTATCAATGGAACAGAATATGGCAAATTAGTTACTCTGGTGCTTGGGCCTCAGCAGTGGCTTTTAAGCCCTGGCGCCTGCCTGGAGGTTCTTCTAACTCAGGAGGGAGATGAGCACAGACACTGGACTCAGTGGCTTTGAAGTCAAGCTGTGTGGAGTGGCCTCGTGTTGGCAGGAGCTTAAAAACCTTGACTCATTTACACACACCCACACCCATGCAAACAGTTGTTTAAGGTATACAGGCTTCCAACCCAGGGGGCACCTAGCTCCCTGCCATTTCCGTGGAAATTCATGGAAGTTCATGATCCACAGAGGGAGGGACACAGGGCAGCTGGAGCAAGGGCACTAGGCATTCTCTTCTGAAAGGACACTGGCCATGAATTACAGGCCAGTTGGGCGGGTGCAGAACTGCCGACTAGGGCTGTGGAGACCAGCCTGACTCAGCCAGCAGCTACCTCTGAAGATGGGAAGGACTGAGGGGCAGAGGGAGGGGCTAGGGGCTGGAGGCTCCAGAGGGTGAACACAGCACGGGGAGGTGGGTCTCAGCTGGTGCTTAACAAATGCCCCGATCAGAAAGGCTGCTCAAAGGGAAGGGGTGGTCTGAGACATTCCAGGGGCCACAGCAGAGAAGGCCAGCTAGCTGTCCTTGCCTGGGGTGGGGGGATGTTCCCAGACCTGGGCAGCAAGTCCCAGTGCCTTCGTGCCTGGCAGGTCCTGCAGATAGACGCATGTGCCCAGCTGGCAGGGATGTGTTGGGGCAGCTCTTCCTACCTGTCGCCATATAGGAGAGGCAGTCTAGGACTGCTAGACCTCCTGTATTTTCAGGAGGCAGTATATCCTAGTCCTGGTGACTGGGGGTGTGGGCTCTGGGGCTGGTGGCCAGGGTTTGAACGTTGTTCTGGAAAGACTTTGCTGTGTCAAGTTGAGCAAGTTACTTCGCTCTCTGTGTCTCAGACGTTCCAAGAATGAAATGAAGATAATAATAAAATCTAGGAGGTTTTTAATGAGGATCCACTTAATCTGCACCAAGCTCCTAAAATAGTATGTAACACATAGAAAGTGGCTAATGAACATTGGCTATTTTTATTTCTCTATTTTTTTGGTACCGGGATTGAACTCAGGGGCACTCGACCACTGAGTCACATCCCAGTGTATTTTCTTTAGAGATAGGGTCTCACTGAGTTGCTTAGAGCCTTTCTGTTGCTGAGGATGGCTTTGAACTCATGATCCTTCTGCCTCAGCCTCCCAAGCTGCTGGAATTACAGGCGTGTACCATTGCACCTGGACTGCTATTTTTGAGAAAACAGAAATTCAGATTTTTGTGTGAGGTATTTAGCTTTTAAAGCACTAGCTGAACTTGGCTTGTGGGACGTCTATTGCAATTTCTGGTCTAGGTGGCATTGGGTCCTTTTGCACTCTCAAAAACAGACATCTCTGGTCTCATTTGTTCTCTTAGGGTGAGTCAGGCTCCCCTACCCTGAGTCTGTAGAGCTCAAACACAAGCCATGCTCCTTTCCTGTGCCAGTCTGTCACCACCCTGGCCACTGGTCGATCCCTGGTATCTCCCAATTTGTCTACCCCTGTGAGCACTAACAGAGTCAAAGCAGTGGGGTCCACTGTGGGTCCTATAAAAAGCCAGGCTCCCTGCTGAGTCTGTAGGGCAGTTGAGAGAGGTGGTGTATGGGTGATAGTAGGGAGCATGCAAGAGAATGACTATGGAGAGGTGACCTGGGGAGACTCAGCAAGGCTGCCTTGCAGTTGGAGGAAAGCTCTTAGTTGGGACTCTCAAGGCCTTGATTCTGGTCATGGCTCCACCTACTCCTTCCTCTAGTGGAAACTCAGTTTTCTTATCTGTAAAATGGAGCTGAACTACCCTACCTCCCAGGGGTAACTGGAAGAAAAGGCTTGACAAGCTGTCATTTGTGGGTCAGGAGCTGTTGGTTCTGTCTTTGGAGCTGAGGTGAGAAGGTGTGTGGTATGCCCTGGGGACATGTAGGACATGGCCAACTCCAGGCTGGCTCTCTACAGACCTTCTTGATTTTCTTGATGTCGCTGTCTTCATCATTGTGGGTGACAGTCTGGGTGGACTGGATGCGCTCATTGTCCTTGAGCAGGGATGCGATCTGCAACAGAAACACAGGTCAGCTAGTAGCAGTGAGGGGCACTGACAGGTGGGCAGCGGGCACATGGTGGCAATTGAGCACCTGCCTCTTCTTTTCCAAGAGCAGTGATATGGTGGCTTGGGTCCTCTGCCCTGTGCATCCGGGTCATGGAACCTGACATGCCCTAAGCATCTGGAAGACAGTGAGTGCTGCACCAGGGACCAGACCACCATGGTTTGGGGTCATCTGCTCCCATGGCTGCAGACTTTGGCCTAAATCCATTGATTCTCCTCCCGACTTCCCAAACCATCAGTTCATTTATTGCTAAATTTAATTTGTGGCAAAGAACGTGCAACACAAAATTGATCATTTTAATGAAGTGCACAGCTTAGTGGCATTCAGTACATTTGTAATGTGTGACCATCGCTGCCATCCATCTCCACAACTCTTTTGTCTTTCCAGACAGAAATTCTGTACCATTTACAAAGCAGCTCCTTATTCTCCTCTCACCTAGACCCTGGCAACCACCGTCCTCCTTTCTCTGAGTGGATCTTAGCAGGGACCTCATATATATGGAATCATGTAGTATTTGTCCTTTTTGTGTGGCATATTTCACTTAGGTTAATGATCTCAAGCTTCAACCGCCCTGTAGCCTGTGTGAGAATTTCTTCTTTTTTGAGGTTGAATAATAAATAAGGACAGTACAGATGGTATTTTATTTATCTCTCATCTGTCCATGGACATTTGAACAGTCCCTTTATTTTTCCAAGCAAAAACCACACCTGGGTATAAATCAGATCATAGCAGGTGGCTTTGGGGATGGCCTGGCTGGCTCAGCTTTCCCCTCCCTGGGTGGCCCCGAAGCACTTCTCAGAACTAAAGTTCTCTTTGGTGCACAATCTGTACTCTGCTGGGCACCTTGAGCCAGGGGCTGCTGGGACTACCCCTTAAGATAGCTGTCTGGGTGGGGCTCATTCCAGCCACCTCAGTTCTGCAGGTCCTGTGTCAGGTGCTCCCACAGCACACTGGCCCTTCCTATCAGGATGCTGAAATTGCCTAGGTCCTTTTCCACCTCTGGCTGTGAGCTCTGTGTGTGGGGAGGGGGCTGGATCTGCTTCATTCATTAATGCACTCTGGGTGCCTAGCAAGGGGCCAGGCACGCATCATGTAGTCACTGGCTACATAACAACACGAATTTAGAAAAAAAATCTGAGCAACAGCAGCCACCAAACCCCAGACCAAGGGAAAACCCGGCAGGAACTGAGCCCCACGTGTCTAAAGATAGCAGCTCGGGGGATTCTGCAAACAATCATTGCCAAGCCGGCGGCAGCGCTGCTCCCTCTTCAGAACACGTGGCTGTGTCCCCTCAAGGCCACTCGATAAACCACAGAATGAATGGGCTCTCACAATCCAGCGAATGCCACACTTTGAAAGCAAAATGGAACAGTTGCCCGCTCTCCACTCCCTGGTTGCTAAAATTACCCCAGCCCAGGCTTGGAGAGTGGCTGAAAATATCTGACTGAGAAATGTGGAGCGTGGAGGTGGGCTTTCTGTTCTTTCTCTCTCCTCGCCTGCTCTCCCCCACCTCGCCCTTTTTCTGATCCTTTGAGAACATTTGTACGTTGAAATAAAAACTGATTCTTGAATCTGTCTTCTAAAGGGCTGAGGAACACACACACACACACACACACACACGAGCTCTGGGAGAGCTCAGAGAGGTGGCACACCTGGGCCTGAGGTTCTCACCTCCAGGCTGGTCTGCTTTCTTTGCCAGTTTTGGGATTTGCACATAGCAACTGTTTTCTCTTTAGGACGCCACACACTCTTTAGGTGTGTGCATGCATGGTGGGGGATGGGCAGGTAGTCTGTATTTAAAACGGATGCTGCTTTTCTTCTTCTTCTTCTTTTTTTTAATTGGTTTTTCTTGAGGGAGACAATTGCCGGGATCTACTCAGTGGGGACCAGGGCAAAAAAATAGATGCAATCAGGTCGAACACTATGTTACCTGCTCCAGTGACACTGGCAGCTTTCGGGTCTTTATTTAAGGATCAGGCTGGATGGGTGAAGTTCCAGAAAGTGAGAAGCCCGGGGACCCTGCAAAAGTCTTGGGCTATAACCCACCCCTGTCAGGAGCCGGTATGGGGATGGCAGTGGCAGCTGCAGGCCACTCCTGGAGGCAGCCTTTCTCTAACTCTGGGAGGCCCTTCTGGAAATAGATTTACTCTGGACCCTCCCATGGTTTGTTGGGTTGACTTCCAAGCCCTTGATGATGCTTGTCAATGATGGTCATGGGGGACTGGACCTTTGGCTCTCTGCCGGTCTCTGGCTGCCTGGCTTCTCACTTAGCTCAGTGCCTGGTGTCTCCACCAGCCCCTGCCCACCCACCAGCTGGCCCCTGCAGACTGTCTTTCTTTGCCCATCAGGCAAACCCTGGCTTGTCACCCACCATTAGGCACTGTGCATTGGCCCGTGCCCCACCCCGTCCCCCTCCCTGGAGGTGCATTCTTTAAACCACAATGAGTTCAGTCAGCATGTACTTGATGGTGGAATGACCAGATTTGTTTCATTTTGTTAGTGACCCAGGTTTTACTAAAGACTGATGCATTTCCTGCTTTTCAAACAGCTGCCACACAACTCAGCTCTCCCTCCTTCCTTCTTGCTGGACCCTGGTCCCTTCCAAGCCCAAGAGGATCCCATCTCTACTCTGTGCCAACCTCATCAGCACACCCTGATGCTCTCTGTGTTGGGCGCTGTTGCTGCGCCCTGGGGTGACAAAGAGCTGGATGTGGATAAGTCAGATCTCTTCCTTGGAGGTGTTCCCAGCTCTAAGAAGGGGGTCAGACATCCATAGAGGTAACTTCTTCTCTTTTTCTGGGGAGTACTGGGGATTTAACCCAGTGGTTCTTTGCCATCAAGCTATATCCCCAGTCCTTTTATTTTTTATTTTGAGATAGGGTCTCTCTAAGTTGCTCTGAGCCTTGCTAAGTTGCTGGCTTTGAACCTTCCATCCTCCTGCCTCAGCCTCCTGAGTCACTGGGATTACAGGTGTACAGCACTACACCCAGCCACAGGGGTAATTTATAATCCAACAAGGTAGGGCCAGAACTGCTGTGAGAGGGCCTCTCCCTGGAAGTGGCCAGGGCTTTCCAGAAGAGCTTTTGAAGGACAGTTAATTCCAAAAGGTAGTCTATGGGAGGGAGGGAATTTGGAGAGAGGAAATGCTGTATCCAGGGGCACAGGGTGTGATAGGGTCGTGTGCCAGGATAGCAGATGTGAAAGCAGGGTGGGCAGGACGGGAGATGGGAAGCAGGACCCAAACACTGGAGGGTTGGCATTGCTGAGGAAGGTGCTGGCTGGGGAGGGGTCATGGCCCCTCTCCCCTATTTCCCCAGAGTGGTTTTCTCCTTCACCTATTATACATATTGATGTTCCATGTTAAATTTTGTTTGATTCCGAGGTTGTTTTTATTTCCAACCTTAAAGATAAGATCTCTGTAGTTCCTTCCAGAATTGACCTTCTAGGAGTCTGAGTACTTACATGACGATAAAATATTATGACTATCTGTAAACTTCTATCCTGTCTTTAGTGCCTTTCTTAGCGCTCCAAATTTACTTCCATCATAAATAGGAGAAAACAGCTATTCAAAACGAAACAGTGCCAAACTGGGCATTCCAGGGGAGGAGGGATTCTCAGAGGTACCTGTCTCCTTTGTTTTAGATGATTTCTTTCTGGGCTTGGTGGAAAAAGTGAAGGTTTATAAGGTTCACATGGAAGAGAAGAGTCTGAGACAAAGCTGGATTATTTTACTTGATCAAGTGACAGGTGTGTGGGCACCATCTCCTGCTACCTACAGAGGGAGTAGCTGGGGAAGGCACCACAGGATTGGAGTGAGAATAGACAGGCTGACTTCATGAATGAGTGACCTGTGCATTTGCCCCATGTCTAGTTTATACTTTTGCTATTATTGTCTTGAGATTCACCAGCGCCTCACATTTTCATTTTGTTCTGGGTCCTCCATTTATATATCTGATCGTGAAAAAAGAGGCAGACAAATGTTTGTCCTTGGATGAAAAACTCTGATGGGCAGCATTAGCCAATTCCCATGGTGAAAATGCTCTTACCTTGCCCACTGCAAGCTATCAAAGCTCAGAAACCAGCTAGCAAAATTCTTGAAGATTTACCAACTGGCTCTTGCAAGCTGGTCTGAACTGGCTGAAGCACGTCTCTGGATATAGATGAAGGTCTCAGTAGAGAAAGAGAATATGAACAATGTTGACAAAATGGCATATGCGAGTATGGAGACCAAGGTCAGTGGGAAATTGCCTTAGCAGAAAAGGCTGGGTGGCATGAGGGCAGGATGTCTTCCACTCATTTTAAAGTTGCTTTCTGTTTTAGCAGAGGAATGCCATTGTATCTAAAGATTTCACAGTCTGTGCCATACAGCAGCCTGTGTCACAAGGCTGGGGACTGAAGGAAGAGCCACCATTGAGTAGCCACTAGGTCTTTGGTGGATATTCCAGTTTGCTTCATGCACATGGCAGGATTGTTTCTCTGAGATCTCTTGAAATTGGGTCTAGTCCTGTGACTTGCTTTGTCCAGTGAAATGTGAGACTTGTCACGTGTCATTTGCCATGATCTTTTCCCCCACTGAGTGGCCAATGAATTTCTTTCTTGTTTTGCTTATTTTTTTAAAAGATTGGTGCGTTATAATTATACCTCATATTGAAATTTGTTGTTACAAGTTTACATGCACTGGGGCGGGGGGTACTGGGGATTGAACTCAGGGGCACTCTACCACTGAGCCACATCCTCAGCCTTATTTTGTATTTTATTAGAGGTAAGGTCTCACTGAGTTGCTTAGTGCCTCGCTAAACTGCCTTTGAACTCGTGATCCTCCTGCCTCTGCCTCCTGAGCTGCTGGGATAACAGGCAGGCACCACCACGCCTGGCTTGAACAGTGAATTTCTTGATGACTGAAGCTCCTTTGGTCTGTGTCCTGGTCTCTGAGGGGAGGAAGGAGATAGAGAGGTACAGAAAGAGAGAGGTGGGGGGAGAGGGAGACTACAGCCGGATAGCTTTACCAGTATGGGCTTTCTTTCAAAGCCATCTTTTAAAACCTCTTTTGCCTGGCAGGGTAGTGCAGTGCACTCAGTTGGAAGTATTGCTCCAAATTCCCAGCAAATGGGCCTCTGCTGCCACTTTGAGGAAAGATACACACACACACACACACACACACTCACTCACTCTCCTGATTGACCTATTTTCTGTTCCCTAGCACCAGATAGGCCCTTTACACCTATAGCCCTTCTCTGGCCTACAACCCCCTGAAACCTTTCCAGGACCTGCATGGCCTGACCCACACCCTCCCAGGCTCCAAAACGACTCACTTCCTGAGTCCAAACTGACTCCCGGAAGGGATCAGGGAAGGAGTGAGGCCCCAGCACCCAGTTACTAGCTTTGTGACCAAGGGAGTCCAGTATCATTTTTCATTCCCTCTGTCACTAGAGAGATCACCTACCCACGAGTCTCACCCTCTTCCACCATGGCTGTTATGGCACTGGTCACACCGTACCACAACAGACCTGAGAGGCTGAAACTTCCATATCCTTGGTGCCTACCACAGAGTAGGAACCCACTTACTCATCAAGCCCTTACCTACTATGTGCCAGGCAAAATAGAAGTGTTAAAGGACACTGCCCGGCCCTCAAGGAGTTCCCTCCCAGTGGGTGGAGTGACAGATACACATGGGGCCAGTTCTAGTGTTTTGTGCAGAGTTTGGGAAACCCAGGGAGAGATGGCAGAGAGCATGCTCTGGGTCTGGAGTCCCCAAGGAGGAGGTGCTTGAACTTAGGATTTCACCAGGTGGGAACTGTGGGGATGAGAAGGGCATTCCAAACAGAAGCACCGGCATGTGCAAAGGCCAGGAGGCAAGGAGACAGCTATGGAGTGCTGGCTACTGCCTGAGTGACTATAGAGAAGGGGCTGGGGAAGAGGATGAGACTCAGTGAGAAAGGGAACCAAAAATGATACTGGACTCCCTCAGTCACAAAGCTAGTAATTGGGTGCTGGGGCCTCACTCCTTCCCTGATCCCTTACAGGAGTCAGTTTGGATTCAGGATCTGTGTGGGGCTAGGATAGACTCCAAAGATTCTCTACAGAGGGGAACTGATTCCAGAATGAACCAGGTGGGTTGAGAGGGGCTGGTGCTGAGCTAGGTTCTGAGAGTACGAGGGGGTGGGTTGGGTGGTGGTGGTGGCAGTGGGGGTCCAGAGGTTCTGGGTAGAGTGGGGAAACAGGCAGGAGATCCTGGGTCCTGGGTCTGGGTCCGTTGCTTCCTTGCTGAGTGAGATTGGACAGGTGAGTCGTGCTGCCTGAGCCTGGTTCCCCCTGTGAAACGTGGGTGACTGACTGGTCCTAACAGGATGGCTGTGGGGACAGATAAAGGAGGTCTGACAGTACCTGCTGCCAGGCCAGAGAAGGTGTGTTGAACCTGAAATTTTTTTTGAACATAAGGTTCCAAGTTGATGTTATTACTAGTTTATTATTATGTTTATTACTAGCTTTGTTCCTGCGGGGCAAGGAAGAATTGGTGGCTTTAGGTCTTTGAGCATTTAAGAACTGGTTCCACTGGCATGTGACGGGGTCTCATGCACAGAAAGCTCTATACTTGGTAGGTCTGCTTGGGGCTTCAATCTCTGCTTCTGATATTTTGGAATTCTTGTTAATTTCCTCTTTGAACTATGTCTTGTAAGAGGAGCCTGTTGGGACTATGGAACACCCTGGAGGCTCAGAGCCTCGGCTCAGGTTCCTGCCTCTTACTGCCCTCTTGCCTCCCTGGATGGGTTCTTGGCTGCCAAGCCCCATCCTGGGTCCCAGGACCTCTGCTACTCTCAGCCCACGGAAGCAGATAATGGAGCCAGCAGGGGGAGGCTCGTGTCTCATCCTCTGAGGGGGCCTGGGTATAGGTGAGGGTGGGATCGGATGGACACCCTGCATTAGGTGGATAATTCAGAGGACCGAGGAGGTGGGTCCTTATGTGATGTGTCCAGATGGTTCTAAGCATTCTGGGAAGGTGAGGGGGTAAGAGGGCAATAGATTATTCAGTGATGGGGGGACCATTAGAGAGGTCACTGACCAAGAGCCAGTGCATCCCAAAAATTAATGTAAAAAGGATCCCCTGGGATGTTGGTTAAATCCAGGAGGCCTGGGGTGGTGAGATTCTATATTTGCAGCTGGCTCCAGATGAGAGGCAAGCTGCCTCCTCGCTGACCACACAGCCAGTAGCTGGACTCCAGGGGTGCATCTGCCACAGCAGGGCCACTGCTGCCTGGTGAGTCTCATGGCAGGCATGAGAAGGGGCCACCTTGGGGCTGAGCTCCTAGTGCATACTAATGACCTACTAAGGACCCTGTGCTCTCCATAGTCCTGGGCTGATGGTTCGGAATGCTTAGCCACTGTGGTCCCAGCACAGTCTAGGAACTTGCCCATACCTGAGCTCACTCAGTCCTCATCCCCTTGTCAGGTAACTATGAAAGGCCCTGTTTTACAGATAAGGAAACTGAGAAGTAGGAGGACTTGCTCCAGATGGCACTTGGTAAGTGGCAGGGGTGGAACATGAACCCAGGCTGACTGCAGGACCTTCCCACTGGGCAGCATGGCCATCTTTCACATTCAGTGGCTGCAGCCAGTCCTGCTCCCATCATTCGCCCCCTTCCTGCAGGAGCCTGGGCCCCGGCCAGCCCCCTCAGATCCCCAAGCCCGCAGTCACCTCTGCTTTCAGCCGCTCTATCTCGATCTCACCGTCCTCGATCTGCTGGCGAAGCTGCTTGGCCACCGTCTTTTCTGTCTCGACGATCTGCAGCAGATGCAGGTACTTCTGCATCAGTGCCTCGTGCTCGGTGGCCAGAGTCCTGTAGCTGTGGACAGAGGGACACAGAAGGTAAGATGCTGCCTCCCTGTGCCCTGGTGATTGCTCCAGCCCCTTGCAAACCCCAGTCACTCCAGGTGTCTGGAGAAGGAGCACACACACAGCCTCCACTTCGGGAGCTTTGCACTGGGAGGCCTGTCTTAACCTGTCTCTCCCTCCTTCCTTGCTGGGTTAGCTCCATCCTCTTCCATAGGCTAGTTCTGGTCCCAGGTGAAATGCTATCCCCAGGAAGCCTTCCCTGGTGGCCATCAGGCAATGCAGGGTGTTTCTTCAGCACCTGGGCTCCTGACCACATGATGGGTGGCAGGGGCCATATCTGTGTTGCTTGCTCCTATACCCCTGGGGTACAGTGTCTTTTCCTTAAAGTCTCTCAGTGGAAGAAATGCTTGGGGGATGGATATTAGGCTTTGCAGGAGAGTCAGGCACATACTTTTCACTGTTTGGGGACATCTGAACAACCTACACAGTGCACATGACTACCAAATTTTGAGTCACAGACTGCTAGTGCTGTTGGATCGATGAGGGGGGCAGCAATGAGGACTTGCAATCAGGTAAGACCTCATTGGAGGAAGAGGTCACCCCAGGGAGGAGAAACCCAGGCTTTGACTCCAAGCCCAGTGCACTGGACACACACACTTCAGAGGGCAACTCTGGGTGAAAGACTTGTGTTAGGGGTCCCTTGTAACAGGGCTAGGTAGTTAGGTGTTGCCAGATCAGAGGACTCCCCAAAGAATAAGCAGAGGGTGGAAGAAATGTCTCATAATTTGTGTAAATAGCAGACTTTAGATGTGTAGAGCATCAGAACAGAGGTGGAGGTGGGGGACTTGGAAGGTCAGAGGTGTCATGGCTTGTGTAAGGTCACCAGGCCCCTAAAGAGAGAGCCTGGTCCACTATATTCTAGCCCTGGCCCTCTCTCTGATGCCCACAGCATCAATGGGGCCATTTGAGGGTGTCAGAGCTGGGGAGGACTCTGATTCCAGTAAAGAAGGTGAGAGAAGACTCTGAGAAGGGGACCTCAGTATCCTGGGGGAGGTGTCTGTCCACAGGGCCAAAGCCAGGGGCCTTGAAAGGCAGGTGTGTTTTATTTTTTTATTTCTTAACATACATCACAATAGAGGAGTGCATTACATTAATAATTTTTTTGCATTACAATTCTTAATATACCTTTATACCACAATTTATCAAATCTCTGTTTGTATATAAGGTATGTTGACACCAATTCACATCTTCATACATGAATTTTGTATAATGATGGCAAGTGTGTTTTCTGATTGGGAAGGAAGGTTTTGAGCTCTTGTGGCATAACAGGTCTGGGGCTGAGGCTCTCTGACTTCCTCTTTCTATCCAGGAGGCCTGGGGTGGTGAGATTCTGCATTTGCAGCTCCCCACACTCCTACTCCCTGTGTGCTCCAGCCCACCCCTACCTCAGAGCCACCCCTTCCCACCTTCTCTCCCCTGCCCCAGCACAGCCCTGTATCTCCCTTCTCAATGGTGAGGAGCTCCCCTCTTCTCTGAGCATGCCCGTCAGGGCCCCTCAAGCCCCTCTGTCAGGTCTCTGCCTTCCCATGCTTCCTGCCCTCCCTGTGTTAGCAACCGTCCTGCTCCATGTGTCTCCCCTCAGCACACAAAAAAGGTTCAAGTACCACCCCTCTTTGGACATCACCAAGCTGTCCTGGGCCTCCCTGACTCCTGCTTTGTTGAAAGAGGGCCTCAGTGTCCCCACTTTCTCTTCCCCTCCCCTGTCTGGCATTTTCCCCAGCACTTGCAGGAACTGGGCCCCTCTGTCTCCTATCTGCCAATTGAGGGCACTTTCCCACACTACTGTCCAGCTACCCTGGACAGGGATAGTGAGTGGGGGCCAGGGGAGGGAGGTTGGTCTTTGCTGCACACGGGGAGCCTGTCACATAAGCTCACTAAGCCTCTGTGACTCTTGAGGTAAAACAGGACAATGATAGCTTCCCTACAAACCCCAGGTTTGAGGTGAAGACCTGGAGGGTCTTGGCAGGAAGCAATTTTACAATAAAAGTGCTGCACCAAGGTGGTGACGGGGCCAGGGCAGCTGCAGAGTCCTGTCCCCTGGTGGTGTCAGCAGGTGCTTTCTGTGGGAGAGGGGAGGGGTGGAGGAGAGCTGCAGCTGCACCCTGGAGAGGAGGAAGACGTGGACCCTTAGGCCAAGGACACCTGGTGCAAAGACCTAGAAGTGGGCCTGGGCAGGAATCTGAGGGAGAAACCTGATCTGAAAGGCAAACCCCTATTCTTGTCACACCTCCCCCTAGAGATAAGTAACAGCTGTGAGAGACAATTCTTTGGATTACAGTACTATTTGGTTAATATGGGGAGTTTTGTGCTCCTCTTAGGAAAATGAAGACCAGCTTTTAAAATTTTTTTCCAGCTGCCCAAGAGACTTAATTGTCTCTACTTGCAAATGAAATTCAGCAGAGAACAAGGAGTCTGTTTCCATGCTGCCAGCCTCCCTGACCTGAGCACGAAAACCTGCTTCATTAACCTAGTCCTACTAATGACACCTCATTGTGCTTCAGTAGGAGAAGCCTCCTCTGCAGTATGGTCCTCTTGCCCCACCCCGCCCCCATCCTTCCCTCCCAACATCCATGAGGAGCCACTGGATGCCTCCCTCTGCAAGCTCTGTCCTTACAGACTCACGGGCTCTCAGAGCTAGACAGGAACTCAGGGATCATGAAGGGCCGTTGGAATGGCCTCATTTGATAAATGAGGAAACTGAGGCCCAGAGAAGGGAAGCACCTGCCCCAAACAACAGTGGGTCGGCGTCAAAGCTGGCACTGGCTCTGTGCCCTCTCCTACTAGGTGGTCTGGTTCGGGATCTAGTTCCTTGTTGTAAATGTAGAGTATGAAACGCATTCCATTTTATAAATCTACACACACACACACACTCACACATACACACGTGTGCACGCGCCACAGAGGCATCCCATAATACTCGAATGATATACATGCAGTGTGAGAGAACATTGTGTCTCTACATAATATTAATACCCTACCGTGCTTATTTTTGTGCATAGAATGTGTCTATTAAGTCTATGTAAATAAAAACTAAATTGGGAGATGTAAAAATACTGTGGAAGAGAGCCAGCGCCTCCTCTCTCTCTCTCTCTCTCTCTCTCTCTCTCTCACACACACACACACACACACACACACACAGGATACAGCAGGAAGGCTTATGTTGCCCCAGGTGCTGCCCAAGAGGCCTCAGCCCGGCCAGATTGGCTGACAAGTAGTCCAGGGAGGTGACTCAGTTTCTCTTTTCAGTGACCATCATTATGCCTTTCCCAGTCTCAGTGGGAGATCCTCCTCTGAGGCCAGTGTGCTGGCCCAGGCTCTAGGACTTGGCAAGCAAAGACCAACAATCTGCCCAGCCACTGGCACCTCCCCCTGCAGCTTCCAAAAGATGCAGAGAACAGAGAGGTTTCTGTTCAGAGGTAGGTGTGTCCCTTTGCCCAGCTGCTCCTTTTCAGGGAGGAGAGGCTTCTGGTTTGGGTGGAATCTGCCTTACCTGGGAGTCACAGAGCCCTCAGCTGTGAGTCAGGATCTGGGGCACTGCATCCCCCACTCAAGCAAATCCCCAGGCCCATGCGACACTGTGTCTCAACTGTCTGTGGACCGACGGACCCTCCCTCTGGGTTGTTGTAAGGAACATATGACACTCTTTGTGTAGCATTTTGCAGATTATTGAGGACTGTGCTGGGGACACACTGTACAGATGGGCTGCTGGAGGCCCAGACTGGCCTTGCAGGTCAGGTGGTTTGTTATTATTCCACTGGCTGCTTGGAGCCAGTTTTCAATTTAGTGACTTGTTTTAAAAATGACTGTCCTCTATCAGTGGCAGGCAGGACCCTAAGACTTCCGGCCCTGCCCAGTATACCTGTCCTACATGAGTGAAGTGGCTTTTACTAGAGCCTACTTTGACATGAGCCTACTGTCACTAGGTCATGTTGATATGGCACAGGTGACTTAAGATAGGGAGATTATCCAGGTGGCACACCTAATTACACAAGTCCTTGAAAATGGGGAGCTTTGTCTGACTAGGGGGAGAAATCAGGCTGAAGAATCTTTGGCTTGAGGGTGGAGGGGACCATGTGGTGAGGAATGTGGGTGGCCTCTATTTGCTGAGATCCACCTTGGCTTACAGCCAGCAAGGAAACAGGCACTTCAGTCCTACCACCACGAGGGACCAAATCCTGCCAACAACAAGGAGGAGGCTGGGATTGGATTCTTCTCTGAGCTTCCAAACAGGAGCTCAGCCAGCAACTCCGTGATTTCAGTCTCTCAAGGTCCAAGGCAGAGACCTTGGCCAAGTCCTGACTTCTGATCCAAAGAACTGTGACATAATGAAAGGACATTGTTTGAAGTTGCTAAGCTCGTGGTGACTTGTTATGCAGCAATAGAAAAATAGAAATATTCTCTTCTAAATAAATTATATCGTATCACATATCATTATTTAAATATTTGTAGTTTAATATGCATGTTGTGAAAAGCATAGTTTTGTTTTGTTTTGGTACTGGGGATTGAACCCATGGGTGCTGAACTACTGAGCCACATCCCCACCCCTTTTTTATTTTTTTATAAATTTTGAGATGGGGTCTTTCTAGATTGCTTAGGATGTGGCTAAGCTGCCTTAGCCTCCTGAGCTGTTGGGATTACAGGCATGTGCCACAGTGCCAGGTGAAAAGCATAGATCTTAACTACACAATTTGATTAATTTTGATGAATTTATAGACCCTCATCAAGATAACAAAAATTTCCACCACCCCAGAAAGTCCTCTTAAACCCCTCCCTAGTGAGTCCCTATCCCTGAAGAAACTACTGTTCTGATTTCCATCATCCATGGATAGTTTTGCCTCATACAGAATTTTATATAACTGGAATCATATTGTACTATTATAGCTTGTACTATTATGCTATACTCATTCAGCATATTGACTTTTAAATTCACCTGTTTCACTGTACTTAACTCTATTTGACTCCTTTTTATTGCTCAGCAATATTCTATTGCATGGATGTACCAATGTTTGCTTGCACATTTGCTTGTTGATAGACACTGTGGCTATTTCTAGTTTTTGGACTACTGTGGATAAAGCTGTTAAGGACATTTGCATATGGGACTTTTTGTGGACATTTTTCATTTCTCTTGAATAAATACCAAGAAGTAGAATTGCTGGGTAATAGCATAGATGTATATTTAGCTTTTTAAGGGACTGCTTAACAATGTTCCAAATTGGCTGTGCCGTTTTACACCCTCTTCAGCACTGTGGAGAGTTATCACAGTTCCATCCCCTCTCCAGCAACTGGTATTGCCAGTCTTTATCATTTTAGCCTTTTATCATATGGGTATTGATATTGCCTTTAGAAAATTTTTGCATTAATGGATATTCTTTGTCAATGTAGTCCTGGTTATCAGATTGCACAACAAATTAGAATGCTATAATGCTTCAGTACTTACAAAGTCCCTTGATGTAAAGATCCCATTTGAGTTAAATGAAATGTTTGACCTTCAAAACAACCCTATTATTGGTTCTACATTAATGTTGGGGAGACTGATGTCCAATTGTTCTCCCTGAATCTGGGTTCTTCTTCACTTAGTTCTGTCCTTGACAATACAAGCAATTTCTATTTCAAATCATAGCTTTGGTCACGTTACTCCCCTGACATAAAACCCTCAGTGGCTCCTATTGTTTACAGAGGAAAGGTCAAACAACTCAGCAAGATATTAGAGATCAATTATGGTCTGATGTCAGCTGATTGTCCAACCTCACCTACTTTCTAACACCTAAACTTTGTCTCTACATTATCCTTGTAGTTATCTTTCCTGTATTACTGCCTTAAGTAAAAGGCATTTTACTTAAAGGTTTAAATGCTTAAACTCATCAAATCCACTCTCCAGTCTTCCACTCAGGTCAGATTTATTCTATCTGCCTTCCCCAGATTCCTTCATTTCCCTGCAGATGGAGTTCATGTGTCTCTCTTGTAGTGTGTTGTACTTGACACAGCCTTGATACCCCAGAGTTATTTGTGCATAGGACTAACATCTCCCTGACTAGACTGTGGTACCCCAGAGTTGTATCCATCTCTGGTCTACCCAGCACCATGCACAGGGCCTGCCTTTATTGGTTCATGTGTTAGTTCCTGGTCTCCATATCAAAGGACTCTCCTGGAAGACAGAAATAGAGATGGCCTAATTCCAGGGCTGCAGTCATTGCTATGGTCATAATAAGTGTTTCTGTCATAATAATTGTTGGTTCAGGGGCTAACTAGTCTGATTCAAGACTCAAAGAGGGGCCCTGGAATCCATCCATCCATCCATCCATCCAACCATCCATCCTCCAACCATCCTTCTGTCCATCAATCCATCACCACATATACTTTCAACACTCCTCCACTGTTCCATCCACCCATCCTCCATTCATGCATCATCTTCTTCCACATATAAACTCAACATCTAGCCTTGCATCCACCCTCCATTCATCCATGCATCTTTGGGTTCTTCCAACCCATGTTTGCTGAGTACCATTTCTATGCTTTTATCAGTCCCTGAAAATGTGAAGAATTATACCTGGTCCCTGTCTTCAGGAACTTAGTTTTATTAGGAAGGCATCCATATCTAAACTGAGCTAGAAGCATCTATTGCCTGGAGGGTGAACCTGGGTTCTCCATGCTCAGCTCTGGCAGGGGATTGTTGGTTCCGGGGCCACACCTCCACCCACAAATCCATCAATTCCCTAGGACCCAAAAAGGACTCATCCAGCTTGGAGGCCCACCTTCACTGTAGCAGATATTGTCATTTGCCTGTTCTTCCTCCAACCCCATCAAAGTTCAGAAAGGTGTAGAAAATCTCAGTACCTAGATGAGGAAACCAAGGCCCAGGGGGAAAGTAGGACCAGTCCATGGTCACACAGCAAATTAGTGGCTGAATTTGGGTTAGAACCTCCACACCTGAGACTTTGGTAGCCAGAAAACCCTTCTACCAAACTACATCACACTTGGTTCCCCTAACATTTAAATAGGAATTAGTCTGGTGGAGCAGGGTGAGAAGCTGCAGTGCCATTCCTGATGGCCTCTCATTTCCTGTGGTCCAGAGGTCCAGCCCCTGAGGGTGGCCCTTGCCAAGAAAGGCAGTCATTCTCCCCTTCTCTCCTCCTTTTCCGCAGCCTCTTCTGTCTGGGATATGGATTTGCAGAAGAACAAGGTGCTTGGTTTAGTCTCTTCTGCCTAGACTGTTGGGTGGGGGGCTTCCTGCCCTGGGAGTGGGGTGAGACATACCTGGCATGAGCGATGGCTGCCACCCACTCGTCGCAATCCTTTGCATCCTCTGTCCTCAGCTCCAAAGCTTTCTGATTCTCATGGGTGAAGTTCACTGTGAAGTAATGCTGTGCCAAGAAAAAGAGAGCCCAGTCACCAGGATGTCCACGAACCAGTGACTTCTCCTGCTGTCAATCTAGTTGTTTTGCCAAGCGCTCTCTGCGATATCAGCCAGGCATAGATCCATTATTGTGGCTATTAGAATGCTGTTCTATTTAGTGGTTTCATACTCTTGATTAAAAAGCCTTTTGTACAATGTAACAAAACCTATGCTTAGGATGTAACAAGGAAGCAAAACCCACAAAACCCTATTTGCCAACAAATTACAAAAAAAGCGTTTTAAACCATCAGGCATGCTGGAGGGAAGGCAGGGAAAACACCAAGGGAATATCCCTTTTGGGAATTGGGTACCAATTCAATGCAGTTGCATTTAATTCACTCCATGAAACCTGACTAAGCGCTTCTCTGAATCCTGGGGTTAGAGTGGTGAATCAACAGACACGGTCTCTATGAAAATCCACGGAAAGCCACCTCGGTTGGGTGCAAATGACTAACTTAGAGCTGAGTCAAACATGGGGCCTGCCTGCCCGCCCCCTAAGGTCGCAGGGAAGTGGAGGAGCCAGACAATAGATATGCATCTGCAATATTGTTATGTGAGTTAAACACCCATAAAGCTCTTTGAACAATGCCTGGCACTTAGTAAGCACTATCTCCGTGTTTGCTATAATTAATGCAGTGTGATCACTACTGTACTGGAGGTAAGAAAAAGAGCCATGGGGTGCAGAGAAAGCCACCCACTGATTGAGCCTGGAGAAATCAGAGAGGGCTTCCCAGAGGATGGGACATTGGTCCTGGTTCTGTTTCAGTTGGCTGGAGGACTGGGGGTTCCAGTTATAGCCCATGGGATGTTGGGGACTAGGGGAGCAGGAGGGGTACATTATGCATCCAGTTCAGATGGCTGAGGGCGGGCCCCCAGGTGCTGAGCACTGGAGTGCATGTGGGAAGAGAGAGTAGGGAAAACTCCCAAGTCTCTGCTCTGGGCAACTGGAGGGTGGGGTGCCATAAACTGGGGTCCACTAGCAGGATGACAACGGGTTTCAGGGGGCAGGGATGGGGAAGGGGTACAGACATGCAGATTGTGAGGGTCATGCCCTGAGAAGCAGCCTCAGGGTGGAGATGTGACTGGGAGAGGGCTCAGTCAGATAGAGGGCAGATGAGCACCCTGCAGCTGCCTCTTGGGTCCTGCAGGCCATGGTGACGCTGGGAGGAAAGAGAAGGGGAGGGTGCCAAGAGGGGTCCTTGGCCCTGCCACTTGGAGGGTGCATCAAGGGCCAGGCACAGTGTGGCACTGTGCCAGAGATGGTGTCTCTCCCTCAGTGTCCAGGTGGCAGGGAGCAGCAGCTCAAGGGGTGGTGTGCCAACTAATTTTAGCTTCTGCTGACATTTATTGTATTTCTGCTAATTGTCGTCCTAGGTGGCAGCCAGCATGTGAGTGTGTGTGAGAGAGAGTATGTGTGTGGGGGGAGCAGGAGAGAGACTTGTTGCAGAGTCAGTGTCTCTCCTTGTTTCCTAGGAAACAGATAACTGGGGCTATAGAATGAAATGTCAGCTACAGCCTCAAATAACTGAATTTGAAGGCTCTGGTGGGCCCCTCACCCCCCCCCCCCCGTGAGAAGGAAGCAGGTTAAAAACAGAGCTGCAGGTGGCTTCCCCATCTCTGGAAGGATGATGAACACCCCAACGCTCATCTTTAATGATCTTATTCTTTTCCCCATATCCACTATCTGTCTGATAGTGATGAATCTGAAACTCAGAGAAGTCGAACTACCTGTTGAAGGCCACACAGCTGGAATGGAACACAAAGGATGACAAGCCTTCCTGGACATTGACTCATGCCCTGGGCTTGGCTCCAGGGTGCACAGATGAAGAAAGCAGGGTCCCTACCTCAGAGGAGCCTGTAGGAGGTGAGGCTCAGGATTCCACCTCAGATCACATGGGTGTGTTCAGGGTGGTGTGGCCTTAGATGGGGTCCTAACTCAGAGGCAGGCCTGCTCAGCTCCACACAGGCACAGCAGGGTGGCTAGGCCCCTTTAGAGCCTCCAGGGGACATCCCAGGGCTAGATGGTCCCACTGCAGCTCAGATCAGGAATGGCTCCTTCCCCGCTGAATTACCCTGGGCATGGCTGAGGCCCCCACCTCCTAGAAGCTTCTTCCCAACCAGTCCTGCTTCAAGGAGAAGCAAATGGCTCCCCACCACCCTTGAGGAACCCTCCCCCTGAAACACTGACCCTTGGAAATCTAACCATGGAGAACCAAGCCAAGGAGACCTCTAGGCCTGAACCCACCACCAGGGACCTCTGGTTTCTGACAGGGGATGGCACTTGCCTCTGGCCCTCACACTAGCACTAGGGCTCCTGGAGACTGCAGAAGGCTATTGTAGGACCCCACAGACATCTTCCTCTTTGCCTCCCCAATGTCCCCACAGGTAGTTGCTTGTCCACCCATCTGTCTGACTTCTGTGTGGCCTTGCTCTATCTGGGTAACCACTGCTCTAGGTAGGCCACAGTCTCCTAGCCATTGTCCTGCAGATGCTGTCCTCCTTGGAGACAGTATCTAGACCCAAAGTGACTGACAGGCTGGAAGTTCTGAGCCCCACTGAACACACAGGCCAGAGATTCAGATATTGGGGGAAGGTTTTTTTCTGGACCTGAGGTTTGGCCTGGTTCTGTCTGGTGAGGGCTGTCTGTGGACACCCCCTTTACCTCACTCACAGGACTGACTTCTCCCTGCTGCCTTGGAGCCTCGCTCTTCAGCTGAGCTTGGACTTCTCAAGGCCAGGACCTGGGTCGGCTTCATCCAGGGTCTCCAGAGCACCACATTGTGCTTGGTCCCCAGTGAATGCTAAGAAATGGCTGAATAAAGAGGGAATGAACAGACCCTGAAAGCTTCACCCTACTCTAAGGTTCTGACATCTCACTCAGGTGCCCAGGACACTGTGGTCCTTCTGTTGTCACCCTCACTAAGATTAATAATGATACCAAAAACAAGCTTCCTGAGCATGTGCCATGTGCCCCATGCTGCCAGGTGTGGCTGCTTCTCTCAGGGACACAGGACCCTGTAGGGAGGGCAGGACCTTGAATTGATTGCCTTTAATTAGTGGGGATCTGGGGTCATTTTTTTTTTAGTACCAATGTAGAATCACTCCAAGTAACCCAGAGCCCAGGGGGTGGGCACTGTGGGTGACAGAATTTTCTCTGTGCCAATCTATTTCCTGCACAGAGTGGAGAGGTTGGGCAAACTTCTCAAGGGGAAGCAAATTCTGTTACAGTGAGAGAAAAGGGACATTTTTGTGATGGTGTGAGAACAGCAAAGGTTATGGATGTCCTGGGGTTTTAAAAGTATGGCAATATGTAAATCAATGGATGTGTAATTGATGTGATTCTGCAATCTGTATATGGGCTAAAAATGGGAGTTTATAACCCACTTGAAGCAAAGTGTGAAAGATGATATATCAAGAACTATGTAATGTTTTGAACAACCAACAATTAAAAAAAAAAGATAACTAAAAAAATAAAAAAAAATAAAAGTCACTGATTCAGATCTGAAAAAAAAAAGTAAGGGAACGCTAGAATTGGGGGAAAACTGGAAAGTAAAGCAGCCAGGGCAGCTCCCAGGGTGGAGGCTAGGTGGGATGTGGTATCCTTGACCCAAACTGGGTCACAAAACTGGATTGTTCCAATCCTGAGCCTTCTGGGAGCTCTCCATTCCAAAGTCCCCCCAAATCAACAGGCTACCTAAGCTGTCACCAACCCAGCCTTACGCCTATGGAAGGTCAGAAACCTTCTATTGACTCTTATCAGGCCCTCGAGTTCCCTGGTCCTCACTCCCTCCTCTCCTCCTGCCAATATTTATGGTGAAGATCTTGAGCTTTCGCCAATGTTACAAGAATTTTTTTTAATATTTATTTTTTAGTGTAGTTGGACACAATAGCTTTATTTTATTTATTTATTTTTATGTGGTGCTGAGGATCCATCCCAGGGCCTCACACATGCTAGGCGAGTACTCTACCACTGAGCCACAATCTCAGCCCATTACAAGAATTTTACAGTAAAAACCCACATGTGTGACCACCTAGATTCTTGCACTATACTCTGACACTCTCAGGTAACCTCCAGACATGCTCTTGGAGCACAATCACTCAGGCGGAAGGAAGACTGCCCTGCAGGGGTTGGCACAGACACCCTGAAGGCCATAGAAGTCACCTCCCCACAGGAAGCTCTGTGTGGTCCTTGGCTGGAACAATGCCCCAGCCCCCTGTGTCTGCTACTTCTGAGCTCACGTTTGGCTCTTTTCAACTGTTTCTGACCTTCCATAGGCGTGAGGCTGGGACGGTGACAGCTTAGGTAGCCTGTTGATTTGGGGGGACTTTGGAATGGAGAGCTCAAAGAAGGCTCAGGGTTGGAACAATCCAGTTTTGTGACCCAGTTTGGGCCAAGGATACCACATCCCACCCTAGGACCTGCCCTGGCTGCTTTACTTCAGTCTTAATTTCTGCGTGGGGCTGGAAAAAGGGAGGGTGTCTCCATTTGGAGGAACTTTATTTCTTATTGAAACAAAGAGGTGGCCTTAATCACTGGGGGAGGGGGGTAGGTTCATCTTTCTGTTTTAGATGACAACAAATGAAAGGCGTTGGGCACAGTGTTATTTGAGAACTGCTATTGTTGGTGCCACTTGCTAGCTGGGTGACGGTGGGCACACAGCTTGATGGCTTTCAGTTTCTTCATCTAAAATGGGCATTAGAAGGGTTCCTTCCTTTCATGACTGCTGTGAGGCTGAGAGAACACTAGTGCCTAACAACTAGCAAGCACCCTGCATGTTCACTATAGTCCTATTTTATTAATATCTTTATAATATTCTCCTTGGCAACCTTGGTTGGACAGGAGAGCTGAGCCTAATTCAAAACACAGGTGACTTCTCAGTTGGTATATTCTTCGTGGGCTTAGGGTAACAATACGATGCTCTGCCAGGCCTTAATTCATTCTAGACATTTTTGGCAAAGGTTGGTACA